GCTGGAATAAAATATATATTAGACGAAAAAATTGCTGAGTTTTAAGTTGAAGTACTAAAATTACTAACTAGAAATAAAAACTAAAACTGAACTAAAGCTAACATTGAATTAAAAACAAATTGAACTTAAATGACAAAATTTAAAAAAAACTAAAATTAAAATGAAAACAGAAAATACAAAAAAATAAAAGCTAATTCAACATATTAATGAAAACTGTAATAGTATATAAGTAATGATAAAATAACTGGTACATGTGTAAAGTCATTACATTCTTTCTAAAGAAGCTTGATCACAGTAGTTTTGCTGGTTAAAATGGTTAAGCATCCCACTGAAGACACCAGGTCACAGCAACATTAGGTTGTTAATTTCATTTTTGAAACAGAGGTTTTTGCTGGTAACTCTAACTTGTTTGAGCAAGATGGTCTACTAGGTTGAAAATTAGACACATCATCTGTTAACCCAGCTGAACATACATCTTGATCAGATTGGACCACATTGTATTAGACAATGATTATAAATGTCAAGCTTTGACCAGCTAGAAACCATGTAAAACTAGCACCGCTTTTATCCAGAATTTGAATGATTAATATTTGAATTATTCTGCGAAGGGAGAACCTGGTGCTCCAGGGTTATCAGGATTACCAGGTTTACCAGGAGAGGATGGAGCACCAGGACAGAAGGTACCAGGCACACTTTAATCTCTTGAATCATTTTAGTTAGCATCAACTGCTCAGAAAAGTCCACACATGTTCATCATCTGTGTGTATTTCAGGGAGAACCAGGAGCCCCTGGGTTGAGGGGCTCTGAAGGAGCAGCAGGAGTGGGCATCCAGGGTGAAAAAGTATCTCTTTCACTTTTCTCACATGTTTTCTCACGTTTAACTTTATAAAATCACCTTAAAGAGCCATTAAATTAAAACTGAAGTTTAGAGGGTGAGATTTCCATACAATCTTCTTAATTTGTGCTTCAATGGGGTCTTTAACTGTGAACACCAACTTGATGCTTATTGATGTAGTGTTTTGTTAATGTGATGTTGTTTAGGGTGATCAGGGTCAGCGGGGAATCCGTGGGTTAGCAGGGCCATCGGGAATAGCTGGACCCTCAGGGTCAAAGGTGAGTGCCTAGTTCTCATTTGGTGAATCTGGAATATTTCGATTTTTGCTACATAGACATTATATAACATATTATATAAAAATTCCTTCTGTTCTTTATGAATCTCTTTGTAGGGAGAGCCTGGCACCCCTGGGCGCCCGGGATTACCTGGACTACCGGGACGTACCATAAC